CAGCAGCTCAGTGTTCGGCAGCACGACACCATCACCCTTCACATTTGGGGGTTCAGCGGCCCCCGCTTCCAGCGGGGGCTTTGGGATCAATGTGGCCACCCCCGGCTCCAGCGCCACCTCTGGAGCATTCAGCTTCGGAGCAGGACAGAGTGGGACCACAGCCACCCCCACCCCCTTCGCGGGGGGCTTAGGTCAAAATGCCCTGGGCACTGGCAGCCAGAGCACACCATTTGCCTTCAACGTGGGCAGCACGCCTGAGAGCAAACCTGTGTTTGGAGGTAAGGAGAGGCATGGGCTTGGGCTGAAGGCCAGACTTCAGAGAGCTGTACCTGCACAGCCTGCCTTCTTAGGGACCTGCTGCTATGGCAGTGAAGAGACAGGTATTGAATATAGAGCTGAATGAAATGCCCGCTCACAACACGTTTTGGTAAAATATGTAATGAGTGACTGGAGGAGCTGTTGTGGATGTAGCTGGTCATTGAAGGCTTTTCTGAGTAATTAACAATGTAAGCTGAAGGTTGGGTGTAGTGTGGCTCACACCTGTAATCCCAATACTTTGGGAGGCCAAGGAAGGTGGTTCACTTGAGGCCAGGAGTTCAAGACCAGCCTGGGCAAATTGGTGAAACCCTGTCTCTACTAGAAAGACCAAAACATGGGGCGCAGTGGTAACTGCCTATAATCCCAGCTACTTGGGAGGCTGAGGCACAAGAATGGTTTCAACCCGGGAAGTGGTTGCAGTGAGCCAAGATTGTGTCACTGTACTCCAGCCTGGGTGACAGCAAGACTGTCTCAAAACAGCTGAGTACAAGGGTGGGCAGAGCATGAGTGAGGATGCCTTTCCAGCACAGGATGGCACATGTGAAGGTCCAGACGCAGAAACATGTTTGGTGTGTTCAAGAGCAGAGGAAAAGGCAAGCGTGGCTGGAGGGTGGAGGTGGAGGCAGTGGTGTGGAAGGAGGCCAAGAGGTGAGGGTTGTTTGTGGCTGGGGCTCAGTGTTCGGCACTTAAGTATTCAGAAAAACCACTGCAGAGTAAGTAGAAGGATGCCGTGATGGCGCCTCCCACTGGAAGATGGACATAGACCCCCATGGCTTCTGTTTTCTTTGTGAAATAGAGACGATCTGGGAGAGGGCTGGGGCAAAGTGTGAGAGAAGGGCCTTTGGAAAGAGTTATTTGGGACAGTGGGGGAAACGTTATTAAAAAGATCCAATGCTTTCTAGGCAGTCTGTGGGCTGGACAGTTGTGACTGTCAAGTTCAGGTGAGGCCAGTCAGCATGGTGTGTTTCCCAGCGACACTTGGGTGTTGGGGTGTAGACCTGACGTGAGTGGACAGCTGGTGCCACCCGGCCATAGGGACCCCAGCAAGTGCAGCAGGAGGGGCAGTGGGCCAGTGCCCCGATGTGGCTCGGGGTGCAGGAGCGGAGAGCGGGTGAAGTCAGCTGCAGGAGGGGTGCAGTGCTGGCAGGAGATTTGGGAGCCGAGATCTGTGGTTATGGTGTGACCGCAGGGGTGGGGGAGAGGAGCTCATGGGGGTGGCAAGGTTGAGGGGCCGAGGATTGTCAGCCTCACAAGGCGAAGTCACCATGAGGGTTACGAGGAGGAAGCCAGTGAGCCATGGGTCCTCTGTGAATCAGGAATTGACCTGGCAATTGACAGGTGACGTGAGGACATGGCGGCTTATGATAAAGTGATGATCTGAACTTCGGTTATGGCATTTAGGGAAGGGAGAAAAACAGTATGGAAGCAGCATGGGAGCACAGGGAGCCTCCCCTTCCCCAGGCTGGAGGCCAGGCCCTGAGAGCAGCCTTCCCTGCAGAGGAGCTGCTGGAGGGCATCAGCCAGGCAGCCAGAGTCAGTCAGGGCAAGGCTGGGGAAGGGGAGTCGTGACAACTGTGGGCACCAGGGGGCACCACAGAAGATGAGGGGATGGGACAGTGGCTGGGGCCGGGGGCCGGGGGGGGGGGGTGCGGGAGGCCGGAACGGAGGTGGCTAACCTGGGTATGCTGGAGGCAGGGGCCTGGAGTACTCCCCTCTGCAGCAGGGGTCAGGAGGCCCAGGAAGCGGCTACAGGGCAGGGTTGTTTTTTCTCTGCCATGGCATGGCCATTAGCTGGTGGGAGAAGCAGGCTGAACTGGGGCACCAGGCATGAAGACTTGGTTGTCTGGCTTAGTTGCTGATGGAGGAGTGGGCCAGGAGCAGTAGGGCCAAGGGTCCTATGAGGAAGTCCTTTGCGGAGCCCAGGCTGTTGCTCCGCTCCTTGCCTGCCTCCGCCCTCTGCTCACTGGCCAGGTCTCTGCAGCTCTCTGCTGTCTTCATTCCAGGCACCGCCACTCCCACCTTTGGTCAGAACACCACTGCGCCTGGAGTGGGCACATCGGGCAGCAGCCTCTCCTTTGGGGCGTCCTCAACACCCGCCCAAGCCTTTGTTGGCATTGGACCGTTCGGTAAGCAAGCCACCCTGTGGCCCCCTGTAGTCCTGTGGCCCTGTGATCTGTGCCTGTCTGAGGAGGGGTTGGGTGGGGTGGCAGGCTTCCGGCCCTCTGAGACCTTGTGAAGATCAGGTTCAGCACAGGAAAGACGTTAGGGTTAGGAGTCCGCCACCGCTCAGGGATGGGAGTTGGATGGCAGAGATCAGAGACAAGCTGTCTGGGCGGAAGTTCTCCATCTTATGGGAAGCCAGGTAAAAATGGATTCATGGGCCTGGCTCTGAGGCACTCTGGCAGTTTGCATTTCAGTGTTTCTCGCCCAGCCTTCCAGAGGTTCGGGCACTCAGACCCAGAGTCTCATGTAGCAGCTGCCCTGATGAGGTCTTGTTGAATTTTCCAGGAGCGGCGACCCCTTCATTTTCCATTGGTGCGGGATCCAAGACCCCAGGGGCTCGACAGCGGCTGCAGGCCCGAAGGCAGCACACCCGCAAAAAATAGCCTTTGTCTCCTGGCCCCATTTCCCCTCCCTGTCCCTAAGTCTGGACCTTGGCACCTGCTAGGAAGAGCCTTTGACCCTTCGAGTTCCATACAGCAAACCTACCCCAGATGTCTGGCTTCAGACACCAGGGGGTAGTGGCAGCCCTGGGGCCCTTTCCCTTCTGGAGGAAGCACGAACGAGCCTCAGGGATAGGGAAGCAGGACGCCGCAGGTCCAAAGCCCATGACCTTTACTTGAACAGTTCCACTGGGGATGCTGGAGAACTCAAGAAACACCTGTATATAGCGTCTGCTGCCCTGACTCCCGCTTAGCACGCCCTTAGGCAGGCGCCCCTTCCACCTTTCCCCGAGAGCCGTCGTCGTTGGAGGGTGCAGGGTTCAGCCCGCCTGGATTGCTGTTGTGCACCTGATGGGATTCGGGAAATGGGTTGTCCCTAAAGCTTTACCTTGCTTGGCTTGGCTGTGAGAAGTGGTTCTCCTCCTCTGGTCCCTTCCGGGGACTCCTACTTCCCCATTTCTTGCTGCTGTGTCCCTCACCGGTTTCCTGCAGGATTGATTCCTTTTTAAATGCCCTTGAATCTAGCTTTGCCTTGGAGACCCCAGTGGGTGCTGCTCCTGCCTTTTCCTCCTGCCAAGTCTGAATCAATGTTTAATCTCCAACCCTCTGCCAGTTTGGCCCCTCAAAGCTTGGTGGCTCGACTGTTAGCCTGGCAGAGCCAGGGGTGAGATACCTCGCTCCAAGAGGAAGAAGCTCTTGGAGCAGGCAGGATGCCCACCGCTGCTTCAGCTGCCTCCTCTCCCAGCCACCCTTTGGCCTCATCAGGCCCTCGTCTGCCTCTCCGGGATTGTATGTTTCAAGACTTGTCCTGTGTTCGTTTGTCTGACGCTCTGTGTATTGCTCTTTGAATCGAGTTTGGAGGAAGAATTGAGTTGTATGAGTGGCGGCATGTTGGTAGTGCCGGACTTACTGTTTCAAGTTTTCTGGAGCCTCGCTAATTGAGTGTGGAAAGTAGCACCACTTTATGGCTACAAGTGCTGACTCCCGAATTTTCCAATGGTGTTTTGACTTTAAGGGCTGGCAGCCCAGGAGGATGGGGCCAGGGAAAAGCAAAGACCTCTTCCCTCTGCAGTTTGTTTCTGTCCCACTTATGACCTCATTGGAGGCTACACCACCCAGAGTATGTGTTAGAAAACCGAAATTAGTGAACCAGATTTTAAAAACCCTATTTTTCCTAAGCAGGGCCCTCTGCAGCCCATCCTTACCTTCCTTTATTCTGAAACCACATACCCTGGGCCCAAGAGCCTTGCTGCCACGCCCGACCTCTTTGGGAGAAGTATGAATGTGTGTGTCTAAATTAAAAGAAAAAAATATTTAAACATTTTTTAACAAAAATTTATTTTTATATTTAAGCTAAATTGCCTTTTAAATTCCTTCAAGCTTGGTTCATTGAGGTGGTTAAGTATAAATGCTATTGACTAGGAATTAGCTGTATAGTTAAGTTATGCCTGTGTGAAGAAGAGGCTCAGATGCTGTCCCAGGCAGCTTTCTGAGGGACTTGAGCCCCTTCTGGCCACGTTATATAAACTGTAATTCTTATTTTATAAATAATGTGATGTAGATGTAACCGGTGGCCCCTCCCCGTGGTGACTGAGGGTGAGTGTTCGGTGGCAGGGACGCTCCTGCCAGCCCTCAGAACAGCTGTGATCCTTGTTCATACCTGGCTGTGTGTGCAGCTGAGGGGGGAGCGAACCTTAAGCCCAAATACCTGTTAGGACTAGAGGGTCGGGGTGGGCCCAGGCCTAGAAATCAAGCTTCCACCTGCACCTTACATAAGGTAGACCCTCTAGTTTCAGTACCTGAGCTAGTTTACCTCAGTTCCACAGGCAGGACAGCCAGTCCGGGAACCCCGAGCGTGAATGTGGATGTGTACAGTATGTACACTGGACAGGAGTGGGAGGCTGGAACTTTCCTTACAGATAAAGACTTCATTCCTGTTGAGTCTAGCTGGAATTTTTAGTATGAATGTGAGATTTTTCTCCTGCTTATGTCACTAAGAATAAAAACTGTGATCTATCATAGAACACGCTCTGCGTTTTATTTTTGTGGGCAACACTTTTCTCGCTAGCAAGAACACAGCCCAAGGAAGGGACCCAGTAGCCTATCTGCTGCCTGCGGTGAGGCCCAGGGCCCTCCATGGAGAGGACAGGCGTCTTCCTTTCCCACCAGGAAGGAGGCAGCCCGGAGCCCCTGCTATGTGCCAGGCAGCGTGTAAGCACCAGCTGTGGCTTGTCACCGTCTTTTCTTTCTCTTTGGGGCTGGGCCGGGTGTGCATTCTGGCGCCGATGCTTCAACCTGTGAGGCTGAGCTAGAGGAGAAGTGTCGTGTGAGATGTGCCAGGGTCAGCCTGTGTCTCCCAAGCACGCTCCTGCCCACTCACCTCGGTGCCTCAGCCCGTTCAATTACAGCAACGAAGAAGCCACCACTGAGTGTGGTCTCTGGGGAGGCCCGTAGGCAGTGCTCCGCACCTGGGAACCTGCTCAGGCCTCGGTGGGGCCAGGTAGGCAGGACAGGAGCTAGCCTGCAAGAGAAACAGGTGCGGGGTAAGAGAGCCACTCACCACTGCCCCACGACCCTGGCACACGCCCATTACCTGAAGGCGCCCGGGTTCTGCTGCAGGGCGTCTCGCACCACATCTTCATTCTCCTCCTGGCAAAGGGAGCACGTAGAGTAGACGAGCCGCTGCAGGGAGGGGAAAGTGAGCGCGTGGCACAAGGCTCGCTGCTGGAACCCTGCCAGCGCATGCAGGCGCGCCGGGCAAGGTGTGCGTGCACCAGGCTCCTCCAGCTGTCTGCTCAGCATACCTAAGGAAAAGCGCACCTCAGTCCTGAAATCCCGAGAATTTTTGTCCCAGGGTCCCAAGCCCATTAAAGCGTCAGAACTAACACCAAAACTACTCCAGTTCTAGGCGGCTGTGGACCTGTGAGTCCCTCGGCCACACCTTCTCCCATCTCACCCGAGCCACTGCAGGAAGGATCCAGCAGGATGTAGCGGACCTGACTGTAGCGCGGATCTGAAGGGGAGACCGCCAGGAAGTCCTCCTCAGCCAGCTCACAGCAGGAGACGCCGGCCCGGGCCAGCAGAGTAGCCATGGACGCCAGCCGCTTGGCATCCAGGTCAAAGGCAAAGACCTTCCTAGGGAGAGAGCAGAGCAGGAGTCAGCTGAGAACGTGTGGAGCAGCTACGGGGCTGCATGCTAAGTCAGGACACACAATATTGAAATGGCCTATATCTGTTTTTTTGAACTAGAGTCTCGCACTGTCGCCCAGGCTGGAGTGCAGTGGCGCAATATCCACTCACTGCAACCTCCGCCTCCTGGGTTCAAGCGATTCTCCTGCCTCAGCCTCCTGAGTAGCTGGGACTACAGGCGCCTGCCACCACGCCCGGCTAATTTTTTGTACTTTTAGTAGAGACGGGGTTTCACCATGTTGGCCAGGCTGATCTCGAACTCCTGACATCAGTTGATCTGCCTGGTTCGGCCTCCCAAAGTGCTGGGATTACAGGCATGAGCCACCGTGCCCAGCAAAAATGGCCAACATTTAAAGGGTCCAGGGTCAGAGGTAACTGGCTTGGGGTCTCTGCCCTGAGGGCTAAGGGATCCACATCTCACCTGCAGTGGGGGAAGCTTAGCTTGGGGCGACCATGAGCTGCTTTGGTGCAGCAGGAAATAGTTAAGCAAAAGCCACCCTTTCGGCCTTCATGACCCGCTGAAAGGGTAGAGGATCAAGCCCCACGCCCTCCTCCCTCTCCTGACCATGGCACTCACCCTTGGTTCTTCAGAAGAGCAGCCAAGTGACTGGTCTTATTGCCCGGGGCAGCACATGCATCAATGACGTGGGAGCCTGGCGGAGGGTCCAGCAGCATGGCTGGGAGACAGCTGGCCTGGTGAGCAGAGCACCGGGGCCAGGTGAAGAGACCCCAGGCTGACCCCTTCCCGAGCGCACATATTCTTCCCTTTTCCATTCCTCTTACCCTACCCTGTCCTGCAGAATGAGGTGCCCAGCCCGGTACAGTGGGTGTTCATGTAGATCTGTCTGGGCAGGAAACACCAGCAACTCCGGCACCAAAGGGTCCAGGAGAAAATGCTTCCCCTTGAGGGCTCGGAGGTCGTCAACGCTGCCAGGGAAGAGGAACCATTCATTCATCATTTCCCCAATTTCGCCCTGCCAGGCCCCATTTTAACAGTTCATTCATGCAACAAATGTTCACTACAGCTACGGAAAAACAAACAGGATGAAGGGCAGTGGAATCTGCAGTTGAGGGAATGGGTTCTCAAGCCAGAATGACTAGGCTCAGGAGCCCCCTCTACTGTTTACCAGCAGTGGGTGCCTGGACAAGTGATTGAATCACAAGCCCGCCGGGCACTCCTGCAAACTAGTAGGTGCGACAATTCAGTGATGTAATATATCCAAGATACTTACTTGGCGCAAATTAACAAATATTAGCTATTCCTGTTTAAGTATAACCTTGGAGAAAGGTTACTTTCCAGGGGGGTGAAGGGACGCAGGGAGGTGAGAGCTGAGCCCATTCTTGATGGATGAGGAGTTGAGTCACGTGAGGCGCGTAGGTTGAAATTACATTCACTATAACTTGGCAAAGGAGTACTGCCCACTCTACCCGACCCATGCAGAAATGGGCCTAGAGAGCCACATGTCTCAGTCCAGAAATCTATCAAAGTGGCTGAGCTGGAATTCAAACGCAAACAACTGTTCTGTGCTATTCCACCCTGGTATCCAAGCAACATGGCAGAGACAGAAGGAAGAGGGTCTTACAAAGAGTGGAGGAAAGGGAGAGGGGCAGAGGCTGCTTCTCAGAGCCACCAAAGGACAAAGCAGGAGCCAGGTGTGAGCCCAGTGGAGGAGGCCTGAGGGCAGGGACCAGCCACTGTTGCTGGCACACGAGGACGGCAGATGGGCCTGGAGAGGACGCAGGAGGGACGGCACGCTGGAGCTGAGAAAGCACTCAGCAGGGGAGTGACAGCATCAGAGCTGTATGTAGAGCTTTTTTTTTTTTTTTTTTTTTTTTTTTTTTTTT